TGTGAATGAGTGGGTGTCTGTCTATATCTGTTAAGTTGTAAGAGCTATCTAACAAGAAGCCTGACAACTTAACTCATTTCTATTAATCACTATGTTGTCATGTGGCTGTGTTATTACCAGTTGCTGGCATCTTGATGCTCCTTGGGCAGTGGGCTGGTGTCTCCCCTCCTGCCTGTCTCTTTCCTGTCTCTTTCCTGTATCTCTGCTTGGATTTCCTGCCTGCCTCTAAGCTGTCTTGCCATAGGCCAAAGCAGCATATTTACTAACCAATGAGAACAACATATATTCACAGAGTACAGAAAGACATCCCACAGCAAGGGAGACCAAGCTCTGAGCTTGAAAATAAAGGCTCTTTGCTTTTACATAAGGGATTCGGTTTCTGTGGTGGTCTTTTGGGGGTCCCCACAATTTGGGCATAACATAAACTTTAACAGTAGGATGGATCAAGTAGGAGAGAGAATATCAGGATTTGAAGATAAAGTAGAGGAATTGAATCAGTCAGTTAAAGAAAATAATATTTTTTAAGTGAAAGGAATAGCATTAATTTAGGGACACCATGAAAAGACCAAAATAAAACAGTAAGCTAGGAGAGTCATTGTCATTCACAATATTCATAGTATCTAGGGAATAAATAGGGAATAGAAGCAGCCTATATGTACATCAACTGATCAATGGATAACAAAAATGTGGCATATATATGTATATATGTATATATATATATATGTATATATATATATATAGAGAGAGAGAGAGAGAGAGAAATTCTTTTCAGCTATAAAGAAAAATGAAATCCTGAAATTTACAGGTAAATAGATGAATGTGGGAAAATATCATACTGAGTGAAGTAACTTAAACTCAGAAAAACAAATGATGTTTGTGTGTCTTTCTTGTGGATCCTAAATCTGAATCTTCAGGTTTGAGTGTATAATCTGGAGTGTTAGATGCCTGGAGAGTGAGAAGAGCAGGAACTGTACAGATGGAGCAGAAAGACATGGGTGCTGTGACAGGAAAAGGCAGGAAAATGGAGGGAAAACTTAACTTGGGAAGGAGGGAAATACAGTTCCAGAGGTAAAGAAGAATGTTAACAATCACTAAGAATGCTTGGAAAAACAATGAGGAAATTATTTTTCAAGTTTACTTAAATATACACATTTAATGCACACAATATACATATATATACGCACACATATAGTTTTAATGCAGTTATCCCACACTGTGCCCCACCCCAGCATCCAAGAGACTCACAGAACAATAAAGCTTATTGCTATTGCTCTTGACTACCTGCTACAATAGAAAAAAGTGATAGTTTAAATGAGAAATATCTCGCACAGTCTTGGGCATTTGAACAATTGGTCCACAAGTTAGTGGCACTGTTTGAGGAGTCTTAGGAAGTAAGGCCTTGTTTGAGGAAGTATGTCACTGGAAGCAGCATTTCAGAGATAAAATACTTGTTGTATTTCTAATTCACTCTCTCTGCTTTATTCTTGTAGTTTCAGATATGAGCCTCCAGGTTCCTGTCTTCAATCTACCACTATAAACTCCAACAATATGGGACAATAAGCCCAAATAAACTCTTTCTTCTTTGAGTTGCCTTAGTTATTGTATTTTATCACAGCAATAGAAAAATAACTAACATGGAAAGTAGAACTCTGTTGTTGAAGACACAACACACTTCTAGCAGAGATCATTGAGAAATCGACCTGATAATGATTTGAAATCCTCCTCCCTGGGAACAAGATCTCAGTGTCACAAACTGATATATAACCTATGAAAGCAGAAACGTTTACAAAACCCCACCCAGCAATAAAGCCTGAGAACCACAACAGTGGCAAGACAACCAAGGTATCCCCCAGTGGTGCAATAGTGGAACTTTTATCCCTAAGACAGCCAACTGGTGTCTAATTGGACCTAAACCCTGCTCATTTGGAGGTAAGTCATATCTGATACTATAAACCTGGCCAATAACCCATGATTGTAGGGGTCATATGAACTAGAGAAAAACCTACTACAGCCATATTACTAAAGTTATACAGTTGGCTTTTAAGTACATACCTTTATACCCATAGATAAGTGCAGCTATAACATCTCATCCAAAAAAAAATTTCTTAAGCAGATGGAAACATCTACAACCAGTCAAAATGCAAAGAAAAAGTAAATGTCTGTGGGGTGCCCAGCCCCATATTGAACATCTATAACCCACTCCCTACACCTAAGGTTCAGGGGACATCGCCTAAGAAGGCCCAGAGAGATTGTGAGAGCTTGAGAAACAGAACAACTGTCGCATGATAATTCCTTCTAGACAGGAGCAGACTATTTCTCCAATGAATCTAATCAACATGGCTGTCTGAAAATACCTTCAAAGACCACACCAGTTGACATGCCAACATGATGGAGGAGAGAAGAGCTGCTGGCACTCAATTGGACAATGGTTGCTGAGGGAAGGATAATCAGTGTTTTGTTTGGTGTAGTTTGGTTTAATTTGATTTTTAGCATGTTGTTTTTGGTGTTTGTTTGTTTGTTACAGGGATGCTCACCTAATACTATGTGGTTAAGCCTAAACACATGCCAATAAAGGCAGCGCTGATTAGAGTCTGTAAGATCCTGACTAACATAACTCATATCCAGAAAATCAAATACCATATATTCTACCCAATATTAGTCCTAGCTTCAAGTCTTTTATTTTGTGTGTTTAACTTAGAGCACAAGTGGAAGCCAAAAAAAAAAAAAAAAAAACTAGACATGGGTTGTTGAGGGAGGGTATATGAGTGGAAATAGTAGAATATGAGTGAGATGAAAATGGAGGAGGAAACACTGGGGAAGCAGTAAAAAAGTTTATTCAGGGAGAGATGTAGAAGTTGGGGAGCTTGGGGGATTGGAAGGAGGACCAACCCAAAGATAGTGTTTATGAAAAAGCCATGTTAAAGCCTATTATCTCTCAACCCAGTTTAATATGTTGAAATTATAGTAGAATACAGGCAATATGAAAGAAAATGGCTCAACACTAGAGATTAAAGAATTAAGGGGGATGAATGCTAGAGGATGAGGTGGAGGAGATGGTTGTGGGGAGGGTATCCTAAACTATGGATATATTAAAAAGTCCCATGGAAACCTAGTAGTTAACCAGCTGGTTTCAAAATATTAATTTAAACAAAAATATTTCAAACAGAGGGACCTTACATGAGTAGACAATGTCACTCCCAGAAGACATAAATTACTATATGAAAAGAACAGTGGAAGGCATGGGGAACTTCTCTATATGCTATTAGTCAGGGAGGTCACACAATTCTTCAAAACAATGCAAGCTTTTTCATTGCCCTTGCTTAAATACCATGATTAGATAGTATAGTCCTGTTTCCAAATAAACTATAAACTTTGGCTGTAGTACCTAAAGAAATCAATCTCAAACTCATTGGTAAACCTCTTCCCTGTTGACTACCTTTCATAATGATGGAGAGGGACATGTAGAGTGCTGGGGGAATAAAGACATTAACAGTCTTAGCCATTGCTAGAACTTGCATGCTATAATACTGACCTGTCAGGCAGGATGTGCTCACTCATGCAATTGCGGTATGATAGTTAAGCCAGTAACCAACTACCTCTATTTGGTTTTGAGGCTTGCTCAATAGGAGGCAATTTGGGAAGGCTGCTATAATACTGATCAAAAGCCTATGGTTAAGAAGTTCACAGCTATTGTAATTTTACTAAGTGGTCATGCCGTCAAATGACCTTTTAAATATTTGTGTTTGTATTCACAGACCTAGACTATTTACCACCTTGGTCAAGGAAGGTTTTTGTTTTTGTTTGTTTGTTTGTTTGTTTGTTTGTTTGTTTTTTAAGCTATAACCAGTGGAGTGTTACATAACTGTTGAAAATTTTGAGATTAATAGACTTAGTTTTCAGCCCTGCTGGGACATCTGTACTAACCCTTTCACCACTAAGGATCCAAGAACACCAAGGAAGAGGAAGCAGAGAGAAAGTTAAGAGCTGAGGGACAGAGAACTGTGATATGAAATGCTGTCTTTCTGAGCATGACTTGGTTAACACGTTCATGAACTCACATACACTGTGCTGATCTGTAGAAGACTTACACAAGAACAAGCCAGCCAAAATTCCAGCATAGATAGGAAAGGAGCTCTACAGGCTCTACCCTGCACTGAGGAGCTATTGGTGGTCGATAGCTTCTGGGGACAGGAGAATCATTCTTCTTTGAGGGTGTGAGTACTAGTAAGTTTCTCATGCTTCACCGGATGGACCCATGTACATACTCATAAGGACTACACTGATTAAACTTGGTGAGTTATTAAAAAAATCAAGACTGGATAATTTAGAAGGTGCCTCCTTATTAGGTGGAGACAGAGGAACAATTAGGGTTGATATGATCATATTTCCTTGTATGCCTGCATGAAGTCTTTAAAAAGTAAAAAAACTTCAAATGTATGATATTCTGATATATATATATATCATATATATCATATAATATATATATATATATATGATTCAACCTGTGTTTCAAACTAAAAGAATAGAAACATAATTTTGTTTTGAATATTATAGGCACAAGTTTTTGCAGAAACATTCAGATTTCTTTTTTATTGTTTTTTCTATTATTATAAAAATGAATAATATTCTATGTTTTAAATTTTTAAAATCATGAATACTATGGGTTCTACTGTTTCCAAACACTTTGAGCATCAGTTTCATAATCTATAAAATGAGACTACTAATATCTAATACTTTTATTCATTTGAATAAATATCTCAAACACTTTCACTGAGGTTTACATTGAATATTTAGAAAATGTTAATGTGTGTACCCTTCTTTTTTTCACTTAAAAACAATAACACATATAGATAGAAATGGTCAAATAAGAAATTGTATCTGGAATGCATAAACAGAGATAACCAATTTAACCCATAATCTCACATATAACATTGATTCAATTAATATGGAGAAAGCTCTCATTTGGTGCACACATCAATACAATGTGTTTCAAAACTTACCAGCAGTTGCATCAAAGGATGGATGTGAAAAAGGCCCAACAGCAATTTGCATTGGAAAGAGATATCCAGGAATACAGCGCTTAGGATGAGGCTGGTTCACTGAATATAAAAAAAAGCAAGACATTTTGTTTTTAATTCTAAGATCATTGAAATTAAAGTCTGATCATCTACATATATAGCAGTTTATAGAAATATTTGATGGAATTGAAATAATATGAAATATTTTTATTTGTAGATAATTTCACTAGGATACAGAAATGAAAATAGCATCCATAGTCAGGGTCACATACAAAAAGTAGAAATTGGAGTTCAAGTATCTTAAATATTATTCAGTGTCCCTTAGAGCACTGTCTTTACTGATTATTGTATAAATTTTCAATTTAAATTAAAATGGTTACTTGGTATATACTATATATTTAAAAGGTGTAAGGTAAATGTTACTGTAGTTATTAAACCTTCAACTTTAAGAAACTATAATTTAATTGTAGATAGAAACACACAACCAAAGAGCTACAATTAACTGGAATCTTTTGCAAGGGGTATAAAGTGTAGTATGGATATTACTCAACAACAAAACTAAGATGAAATTTGAATTTCAAATGAGGACTTCTGAAGGCTATGAAATTTTATTTTGACCTCAAAAGAAAAGAATAGATCCATTTTCTAAGTATAGCAGGAAGAATGACATTCTAGATAGGAGCTAGGGTGCAATCATGGCAAGTGATAGAAAAATAGTCAGAAAATTTTAGAAAAAACAAACTAACAATAGAGAAGTAAAATTATCTTTATTTTCAAAAAAAAAGTACATTGTTCAGGCAATATACTTGTCTAGGCAGCCATAGAAGCTGTGAGTGCATGAGCACACTGGACATGTCTAGGTCGACCACATTCCAGTAATATCTCCACATCCATGAGTACATAAGCAGTACAAATTGGACCTAGTGAGTTAATAAGGAAACAAAGAAGACACAAAGTTTGGAGGAGATGGAAATGTGGGGAGTAGATCTGGAAGGAGTTAGGAAAGGAGTAGGAGTGAAAATGATCACAATACAGTGTTGGAAATTTTCAAAGAATTAGTAAAATATTGTATTTTAAAAGTACATTACAGGTAAAAACATAATTCCAGTTTTACTAATACATTATAATGATACCATTCTCATTTCACTATCAACTAAGAAATTTGCCAAGTTAAAATGAGTATAAGAATCCCTTAAAAGTCATAATGCACAAAAGACACAGTCAAAGCCTATTGAAATGAGGTAACTGCTTGAATGTTCATTATAGTTCATAAACAAAATGATAGAATTAGAATGTCAAAAGATCACAAAATTTATTGAACCTAGCACAGTGAAATTTAATATGGACAAATGCTAAGGCTTTTGCTTATTTTTTTTAAAAGAAAGCCAGTTGTAAACAGAAAAAAAGAGCTCAAAAGAAGGAATAAGATTTAGAGACTCATTCATTTGCACACTCAGGAACATCATAAAACACTAAATTGGGAGCCATACAATGTATTCAGAAGACCTGGTGCAGAACCTGTGTAGTCTCTGTTCATGCTCTGTTGGCCTTTTTTTTTCCAAAAATTCTGATCTACAATATACCAATCTTTATTGGAAATCTCCAGGTTAAAAAAATCATAATTTCAATAAAACAAGCACTCAAGTACCAAAAATGCCAGCTGCACCACATAGAATCAGAAAAACAGATGGATAAACATAATAATTAAATAGTAAGGTAATTTGTGGAATAGACCATGGGATATATAAATATTTTTGTTGGGTGAGCCAACGAATTAATGTCATTTGAAGTTTCACAAATAGAAAAACAATACAGCAAAAAAGTCAGAAGTCTTATATGGGATTCTTTGGTATTTGATAAGTTTTAAGTATAGATATAAATTATAGTTCACCAAAAAGTCTCAATCAACAGCAGAATAAAATTAAGGTTTTTAAGAATAGAAGTACATGGTAGGGTCAGAATGTGAAGAGGCAAATGAAAACACTGGTTAGTCACTTGACAGGTAACTAACTTGTGTGGCTCTGAAACACAGAATGAGAGCTCATGGTCAGAAGTGTCAGTAAGACTGATTTCTGTTCAGAAAAACTAAGGCTGCAATATTAACTGTCAGATATTATAATGAGATGTGTGGTGAAAGAATCTAAGTTACCTTCAGTGGAAGTATTGAAGAATAGACTTGATGGCCACTTGTCAACATATTATTGAGGAGAGTCATACATCAATCAAGTAAGAAGTTGCAATAGATAATGTCTATGGGCTTCTCAAATAGTAATGTTCTCTGATTCTAGAAGTCCATGAAAACTCATGGTATTATAATGGAAGTGTCATTATATCAGTGTTGATACCAGTGTCTTGTCATGATTAATGATATAATGAGAATGTTAGATATGTTAATGGAGTGACCACTTATCTTAAAGTGTTTTCTAGTTAGCAGTAATACTTTATAAGTAGACATTTGTCACCATTTAAATTACCAAAGAATTCCAATTGAATTGATTATTACTGCTTTGTGAATATCAAATTAATTTGCTACATCAAATGCTTTTAAATTTGCATCAAGAGAAGAATTAAGATTTATCTATGGTTTAAAAATGTATGTTGTTAATAGCAAGAAATTTCAGTGTCTGTCCTTTGACATGTCTATTCCAATCCTATTTAGCATACTTTTTCCTCATTAAGTTTAATTTATAGACATTATATGTCAATTATATCAATCTAGCTTATGTGTCAAAAGTTGTAAAGCCCACAACTACTGATGAAATGTAGTCCACCATGAGGAATAACCATAAAAAAGGGACTAATTAGTGACTATCAAATAGCTTTATGTACATTTACAAGAATAAGTATGTATATAATATGATAATTAAAATATCTGATAAGAAATAGAAACCAACCCCCCATAAAATTAAACAATGTTGGTTGTTAGTTAAAAATGGTAAATTAATGGACTATAGCAAGTAGATAAATGAATATGAAATGAAGATATATAGAAACACTGTGCCTCAAAGAGTAAACAGTATAAAAATCAATGTATACTGAGAAATCCTTCTTCATGTTGTTGGTCAAGGTTGTCCAATAGACTATCAAAACACTACAGGCTATTGTTATTGCCTTTTGTTGTGGTGATATAATGTGTACCCTAATAAACTTGCCTGAGGATCAGAGGACAGAGCCAGCCACTAGATTAGACATGGAGGCCAGGCAGTGGTGGCACACACTTTTATTCCCAGCACTTGAGATCTTATGCCTTTGCTTGGGAAGCACACAAGCCTTTGCTTGGGAAACACACATGCCTTTAACCCAGGAAGTAATAGCCAGGGCAGAGAATGGTATATAAGGTATATGAGGAAACAGAAACTCACTCTCTTTAGGCTGAGGATTTCATAGAGGTAAGAACTAGTGGCTGGCTATTCTGCTTCTCTGATCTTTCAGCTTTCCCCCTAATATCTGGCTCTGTTTTTTTTTTTTTTAATTAAAAGTTCATCTAAGATCCTGAGGTGGAAGGCATGTTCATATTGCTAAAGACACCATGTACTTTGGACATCAGGCCCAGAGGTCCCAACCTGCATCTAACCTGAAAGCCTCCTACTCCCTGAGGACTAGGCACCAGAAGTACCATGCAAGCTTCCCAAGGAGGGAAGCAACCAACCACCAACCAGGTAACAGTCTTATCCATGAACCACATGACAACTATGAACCACAACAATGACCAGAATGACATATAACTCTTCAGGTGGAGAGGTGGTGTGCATACATTGGTCATAACCAACAGCTCTTTCATTTGACTTAAGAAATGCTAAACAAGAGGGAAACCATGCTTGGTACTGGAAACTCAGCCATCTTGCTATGGCTAGTGTGGTCATGGATCTTGGAAGAGAACCTCTAACCACCACTTTACTAAACCAGCATAATCTTTAACTACATATTAAATATCTGCCCTTATATCCAAAGATAAGTTCTTACCCCTCATCATGAAAACTTCTGTCTGCAATATAGGGAGATCACTGCAGAAAATTACAACCAATTAAAATGCAGAATTGTAAAACTCAGTTGCAACTGATACATCTACAAAACAATTCCCACACCTAAAGCTCAGGAATAATTCTGAAAGAGGAGGCAGAAAGATTGTAGAAACTAGAGGAACAGGGAGTTTTCTGTTTGATTGTGTCTCCTAGAAATGTCAGAGGTTACACCCATGAAGTTTCACCAACATGGCTACTTCAGCATGACCATAAAAAGAAAACACCAATAGACATGTTAATGAGGAAGGGAGAAGTTCAGAAAAGCCTTAGTCCTACACAAAGAACCATAGGAAACTGAGGAATGTTGAAAGTGGGAGAAATAGCCTTCCTTAGGAAAAAGCACACCAGTTTCATATCCAATAACAAAAGGACAGTCCTGAAAACATGCATGTACAAATAGCATTATATGGACAGAACAGGTTGTAACACACACACACACACACACACACACACACACACACACACACACACACACTGTATAGCACAAATTAAAGAAAACAAGGCCATGAATTTGAAAAATAATAAGAGAGTGGGTACATGGCAGTGTTAGAATAGAGGAAAGGAAAGGGAGAAATGGTGTAATTATATTATAATCTCAAATTAAAAAAATCTATATTACAACAAAAATTCAATGAATGCATATGCTATATGGATAGAAATGGTTTTATTATATAAATACATATTTTAATAAAATAAAAGTTTTAAATAATATATTTTTAAAGTTCAATAGTGTAAATTATATAGCATGGGAATTATAGGTAGCATTTTATTTCAGTAAATATTAATCTATATACAATAAATTCTCTCATTTAAAGGCTTTGATTCAACATCATTAATAAAGGCAGAGTAATGTGATCATTAAAAATTCTAATTTTTTTAAATTTTTATCACCCTAAATGAAACTCAAACTCATTAAAAATAATTCTAAACTTACCTTTCATTGTTAAACAATTAATTTCTGTCTCTATATGTATTTATTTGATATTTCATTTACTACATATACATATATATTACTTTTGTATATAGCTCTCATTTAACATAATGTTCTCAGGATTCATT